GGTAAACATGTTCTCTATAATTGTATTAATATTTCTCTAGGTTAGCTGTATAGGCCAAATGTAACCTACCATAGCTACTACATCTGTCAGGTAAAGAAGTTGGGATAAAAAAATACAGCTGATTTTTGGTAAGTATCTTCATAGCCTTGTGTGAAACTACTGCTCCTCCAAGGACCAGATGGAGAATTATAATTCTGGCTTTTCTTTGTTTTTTTTTTTCTTTTTTATCTTTTTCTATCTGAATCACAGGTATGAAATTCTGGCTTTTCTTTTAGAACAAGGTCAATGCCAAAGTCTAAGAAGCCTACAGGGCAGAAGAAAATGACTTTATGAACTGAACTGGCAGTTTGGTAGAAAGGTGAAAACTGCCCAAATCAGAAAGAGATAGCACAGAAGGGGAAAACACAGAGCTTAAAGGAGAAATGTTGTAGGAATTTTTGTCCTGAGAAAGCAGTGTGCGAGTTCAGAGCTCATTTCCAAAATAGGTCATAGTAACATGACTTCTTAATCTGAGATGTGTGGTTTCTTAGCAGCATCTCAGGCAAAGACATGTGTATGTACTAGTTCCAACATTTCCAGAAATATAAGAGTGGACAAGGCCTCAGGGATAGAAGGATGAGGGAACCAGGCAGATCCAGCAGAAGTGTTCTGATTAATATAGTATTTCTTGGCAGAAGAGTTTGATATTTTCCATGTTTGATGAAGTTATTCTTGACTATCCAACCATAAAAGACAGCTTCCTGGAGAGCCTTCATGAGAGAATTCAAGAACCCTTAGGACTATAGAGACAATAGAGGTACAGCAGAGATGTGAAGGGGTCAGGTGTGAGATAATAAAGAGTGGTAAGAACTATGGGGAACTGGAAAGCTTATGTCAATCTAGAGGTGGCAGCTTCTTTTCCAGTCCAACAGATTGTTGTCCTGAGGGAATGTGTGGGTCTAGCATTTGCAGATTTTCTAATTTTTTTCAAAAAAGAAATCTAAATCTGATGTGAAAGTTTTTATTTTGTATTTTTGTTGTACAGTGCCTTCTGCTAAGACCCCATACTGCGAATTTGCCATTTATGTATACATCCTCATACTCTTTGGGTAACTACTCAGTCTACATTGTTTTTATAGAATCTTGGTTGAAGAATAAAGCAAGCAATTTTAAACTCATCCCATTAAAAGAGGAAAAGTTTCTTCCACCATATGCTGTCATTCACCTTCTCATTGCCCTTGCATGAAATGTGTTTCCTAAATCTGGCTAACTGTATGTTGTCTCCTAAGATTTTGCCTCTCAAGTAATGTAAGGACAAAAAAAGGATATTCATTTCTTCCAGCAGTAAAGGTTAGGTGAAACTGCCAAGTGATTTCTTTTGTAAATACTCTTGGTAACTGCTTACTATTTCTTCCAAGCCTGGTTTTTTAGCCTTATTTTCTAACCATTCCCTTAAAAAAATGTTCCATTTGCTTAAATTTACCAGTTCCCCAGAGTTTCCTTCAGTTACTTACAACAAAAGAGCCAGACCCACTAACTCCCAGTGTAATCACCAGAACAACAAAGAAAAGGAGGACGCTGCACCATGAATTCTATTGACCCATTGGTAGGCATGTTTTTCTTTTTAACCATGATCTGTAGCACCTTCCCAAAGGATAATGCTGTGAAATTTCTGCCTTGTATTTTCAGCAGGGATGATCTTCCTACACATAGTCAAAGTAGTCTCAGGCTGGACACGGTAGCATTATAATCCCAGCACTTTGGGAAACCAAGGTGGGAGGACTGTTTGAGGTCAGGAGACAGAGACCAGCCTTGGTGAAATGGCAAGACACTGTCTCTACAAAAAATAAAAATAAAAAATAAATTTTAAAGAAAACCCGCCTGTACTGAAGCACATCACATAGAATAGCCTTCCTAGCCAGGGTTTGTAAAATTAAGCAAAAAAGGAGATGCAGGGAGATCAGGATGGTAACATGGGGTAGGAAGAGATCTCACATCCTGCTCATTTCTGCGGTTCCCTCCTCATGGGTCCCTGTGATCTTTGTATGACTCAGCATCAACTAGTCAGTGAGCCTCATGGCGAGTATGCACAACAAAGTTTAAAATCATGGCTTTTCAGAAAGATTCACTTGAGTTCAACTTCTGGGTCTGCTACTTACTAGCTTTGAATGGGAAGGTGGTTATTTCATGTCTGAAACCGTTTTTCTCAATTGTAGAGGAAGCAAATAATCCCCAGCTCACAGAGCTTTGCTGAGAACTAGATGACATGATGCCCATAAAGAGCTTAGCACATAGTCCAGAACATGTTAAGGATTAATAGATTAATTTGCAGTGGTGTATAAGCTTCAGGATATTGACAGCTAGTAGGTACCAGGATAACAGCTGAAGATTCATGAAAATTATAGTCCCTTTTGTAAACTCAGTCTAGCAGGAGCATCCCAACATTCATTAAGTTATGAAGGAAGAGAATATGCTAATAGAAATCATTTTTTTGGAGCAATAGCAGAGCCTACTTGGTATTTAAGTATTAATTTCTCACAATCTATTCACAGTGTATTATTTTACATTGATCTCATAGTCATTTTTTAAATAAAGCACATTAATAATTAAAATGCTATAACTTTCTTTGATAAATTTAATTAAAAAGAATATACTAGTGTTTCTAAAATTTAGCTACATATTATTATCACTTGAAGACCTCTTAAAATTGACATCATCCCAGAAAACAAATCAAAATCTCTGGGGAGTGAAACCCAGATATTAGGATTTTTTTAAAAGCTCCCCAGATTCCAATATACATACAAAATTGAGAACTTCTATAGTAAGATGAGAAAACAAAAACATTCCACCAAACATCACATAGGAAGTGGGAAACTTCAAAACTGAACAAGAAATAAGAGTAATTTTTTAAAACCTTCATTCAGAATTTCAGACTTTAGATGGTTCTGAAAACAATAGGAAAAGCAACAGAAAGCTGTATAAAATGGAAAGCACTATTGTCATGTGACAGTCATGGTTTTTCTGTAAACACCTGTGCAGTACAGATTTTAATGATAAAAGACAATGCTGAAATGTCATAAAACTGTTTTACAAAACACAAATATGAGTTTGATTCAGTAACTTACAGTTCTGTCTCTACTTTAAAATCAAATCTGACGAAATAGTCTTAATAGCCTCTCTTCTCTTCAGCTAAATAAAGATTTCCTAACCTCCAGCATTGTGGACATGTTGGGCCAGGTAATTCTTTGTGGGGTGGGAGTGCGGGTGAGGCGAGTGTCCTGTGCATTGCAGGATGTTTAGCAACACCTCTGGCCCCTACCAATTAGATGCCAACACCACCACCACTCCTAGCTGTGACAACCAAAAATGTCTCCAAACATGACTCTATGTCCCCTAGGGGCAAAATAGCCTGGCTGTAAACCACTGTGTTGAATGGACTACACACTTACACCCCATGCAACGTCTACCAGTGTTTGCCCTAACTGTCTCCATTTTAACACATTTCCTGGACTCAAAATAAGAAATAAGGAAATAAGGACTGATTTTAACTTAAATAATGTTGGCTTTAAGAAAAAAAAATATATAAAGAATTTTTAAGAAAATGCTATATTGTTCCAAGGAATAAGTTTGCAGACTGCATTAAATGCTTGGCATTAAGTCTCTGTGAAAGAAATATATGGATTCAAGGGAAAAACTACTGTAGTACCTGTGTATACATGTCATATATACACATACATATGTGCGTAGACACACATACACACGTATGAGAAGTCATGAGCCCACACCAATACCTTTAATGCATTTCATCCTCACAGGATTCTTTTTTTTTCTTCCCCTATTCCTTATTTAAATGCCCCTTCTTTCATAGTGAGAACTCTGACTCCCAATAATATCAATGTATTTATTCATTTGCTTAGTCCTATAATACATCTTAGTTTCCGAATTGCTTTGCCCACATAACAAAAAAAGATTTTGCCGTTTTTCTCAACAACATGCCCCTAAAGATTGAAATGTATTCATAAACTACTTGGATTCAATTTTCTCTTCATTTTTCCTTCAGTTTGATTTAGATTTACTTGAAATACAATTGTGTTTGTTTTTTCTTTTAGTTTTTTTTTCCAAAAACAGAAACGAAAACTAATATCTAATATAAAGTTGCTTTTATTATAAATAACCTTTTACAATGTAAATAAATATATTGTTATTATAAAACCACTGGTCTCTATTTGTTTAAATATGGCAAAATTAAATAACCTTTCACATTAAAAATATACTCTTTAGTTTTAAAAATAGGAAATGTCTTTCCTTCTTGCCATTAAACGTTTTTGACTGCATGAATCTGGAGGACATTTAATTGACTAAACATTCAATTAAATAAGGTCTTTTGAGGCCCCCTCTCTCTGAATGAAAGTATTTTACACAAATTGTGGTTTTTAATCAGGACACATGGGTGTCTGACCCGGGAATGTTTGCTGACAGGCTCAGGGTCTCGTTGGCCCCACTGGTTCTCCTAATTCAGAAACTATTAATAGTGCAAAGTTAATTAAACTGGTACCATATTATAAATGCAGCTGTTGTGATTTCTGAGACAATCTGGTATGTCAGTGTGGTATATTGTATCCAATCTCAGATTTGGCATCTGACCACCTTGGATTAAATTTTTATCTCTAGATTTTTAGAAATTTTCATTTCCTACTCTGTATAATTATAATTATTGTAAATATGAGAGAAAAAGGTATATCTTTAAAATTTTCTTATTAATATGAGTATAGATATATTATTAGACATTTACTAGTACCCTCTTCTTCCTTCTCATTATTTTCCTCATCACAATCTTAATCTCTCTTGGCCAAGTTTCTAGGCCAAAGAATCATATGCCTTTAGGCCCAACCTTGGTAAATCTATTTCCATGTATGAGTAGTTACCTCTGTTACATCTTGTAGTTTTACAACATGAACAGACCTTTCATTATCACTACAACATTTAATTTCCAGAACTCATATAATTAGGACTAAAACTCACCTAGTTTTCTCCTTGGGCCTTCCAAGCCCCATGATTATTAATTGTAGAGACATCATTTTCCTTCAGGTCCAATTGCCATATTCTTATTTCTGCAAGATAAACGAAATTGTTAAGCCCTATTAGTTAACTGTAGAGAAAATACTTAACTTATTTTTCCTATCAGTGAGAATATGGCTGATTCCCCAGATGCTGCCTGAGATTAATATAGTACTTTCAAAACTGCTATTATTTTCTCTGCTGGCACTGACCTGAGAAACCCCGCGTGGACCACCCAGTCTGCAGATACTTGGGACAACCTAGCTGGAAACATAATCCCGACGCCAGCATGTCACACACAAAGCAGGGTCAGCAAATTCCAGAATCCTCAGATGGGGGCTTTACGTACAAAAGAGAAGCCCCTGGACACTATAATCTTAAAACACTGCACATACACAGCAGATCATCTCCAGCTAACTCAGAGCTTAAATAACAAACTCAGATACTGTCAGCTCCTCAGAAGCATTCAGAGATTTTGCCTTCCCGATATGGATCCTTTTGACACTACTGTTTCAAACATGTTTACAGATAAGGATGAAAACAAACCCATCTTTATTCTTCTAGCATGTTGCAGGCCCTGGTCTGCTCAAGAAATGTTTATTTGTAATCAAATTGAAATGAAACAGCTTCTCTAGAAAGTCTTTTGTGTTTAAGACCCACTACGTAACTTCTACACCATTTCCTCACTTTAAGACCCTTCCTAAACCCTGTTAGATTGGAGTCCTTGATTGGCTGTTTAAAAAAATCCTACTCAGCATTCAATCCTTGGTCTCTATAGCCTTTGTGTTTTCTTTAATATAAATGTATATATCTAAGCCTGCTTCCTATGTATATATTGTGATCTTCTTGGTATGAAGGCTTTTTTTTTTTTTTTTTTTTTTTTTTTTTTTTTTTTTTTTTTTTTTTTTTTTTTTTTGGCTCTTCATATTTGACTCCTACAGAGAGCATACCAGAAGTGCCAAGAATTAATATTCCCTAAATCTTCCCTCAACAAATAAGGGACTCACTGTTAAGGATGAACATCTCGGCTTCTTTCCTAAAGTACCTCTAAGGTATCTTCTGTAGTGTTTCCCAGGTTTTGCCAATAGGATTGAGCTCCACTTTCCCTCTTTGGTAACTGGCTTCACTATGCACCCTCTTGATTTTTTCGCTTCCTTGCCTCATGTCCTTATCTCCTTCTGGAGATTCTCAGACTTGGTTTGATTTCCCAAATAAACTATGTACTTGCATTCAAAACTTTTTCTCAGGATCTCTTTCAAGGGGAACCCAAACCAAGACAATTGTCTTTTCTTAGGCTTCTGTAAATGATGAGATAAAAAGAAGTTTGGACTTCACTGATATGTTTGGTTTTAGCTTCCGATCATTGTGACAACTGATGACATAAAGTTAAAAGTATATACTAAGAATAATTAGTAATCTTCAGACATTGGAGGGCCTAATGACAAATGTAAGAAAGGTAAATTATTCTAAACTTGAGAAGCACCCAATCCCCTTCATGAAATTGAACATATGACTTATTTTTCACCATCTGCATTGGGGAAGAATCTTAGGAAAAATGAGTAGGTGTTTGTTTTACAGCTAAATGAATAAAAAGTCTTGATAATTTTGTTTATCTTGCAGAAAGGACTCTGTATCAAAGTTAAATCCCAGTCTTCACTTTCAGAGGTAGAAAGTTGCTGCAGCTGTTTAACAGTCCTCCAGCACCATACTTTCCTTTTGACAGTACTGTTTCAAACATGTTTACAGATGAGGATTAAAACAGACCCATCTTTATTCTTTTAGCAGCTTGCAGGCCCAGTCTGGTCAAGAAATGTTTGTTAAGCATAATCAAATTGAATCAAAATGGCTTCTCTAGGAAGCTTGTAGTTATCACTAGCTCTACTTGCCAGTGCAACTCTGGGGTCCTTAAGGTAAAATAATAGCTGGGCTTCATTTGACTAATTTTGAAGCAAATCAACAATTAATGGATGAATAGATTTTAAATTTAAAATCAAATAGGTTTAAAATCAAAGATATAAAGGTTAAGAATGCAATTGAACAGTACAGTGATTTGTAAAATAATGCAAATAGGAGTTATATATACTGTAGTTTCAAAAATCAGATTCTAAAGGTATGCAAAGATGATTTTCCCAGATCTCATTTTAGTTGAATTAGTTGGTTAATAGAGTTAATTCTGTAGTGCTGAAAGTGATTCCAATAAAAGAAAATTTGGTAAAGAGTTTCACATAAATACACAATTAATGCATATTTGGAAATCATTGTTATGTATATTATTGCTTTATTTATAAAATCTAAATTAACTTGTTATAACTTATAGAAGGCATACACACACACACATGCACACACACCACATTCACCTATTTTGGAGAGAAAAATCTTGTGATATCATGTCTATATTTCTTATAAATATTATTCATAATGAGGATTCAAGTTCTATAAGGTATTAGTATGTGACACGCCATGCTATTTAGAACTATAAATGTATTTTACCTAATTACATCTAAGTTATTCTTTACTCTTCCAGAAACACATTTGTTGTTTATACCTAGGCTTTCACAGTGTTTATGCTTTAACTCCATTAATTTCTTTGGTTTATTAATTTTATCAGATAAGAGAATGCTTGATTAAATAGCTAGAATTTGTTGATCTAATACTACCACTACAACCTAACATATTTTATTTCACTTGGCATTACAAATAACACTAATGTTTATAAATACTTTCAAGAACGTATGGAAATTAGGGACAGATTATTTTCCTATCAAAGCATAAGAGCTATCTACCTATATATCATCTAATTCTGCATTTTAGAATGACTCATCATCTCAAACATTATTACTGATGTATTCAAAGACTATTTGACCTTTAAAAATAAATATAAGAGAGAGGATATTATATTTTTTTAATATAAATTGGGATCAAATTAGGGTGAATTCATATGTGTCAATACTGTAAGACTATTAAGTTAAAATATCTTCATACTGGACTTCTGTAAAGAATGGAATTATAAACTTTCTAATAAAAAATTATGAATCAATGACAAATTATTATAATGGTAATGAATATAGAAATTCAAATTAACATATTTACATGTACACAGTTCATTTTTAGAAGATTAGAAAAAGGGTAGAACACATTGTGAGGACATTCAGAACTGTGCTTTCAGCAAAGACAGACATCTAAAGACAAGTGTCCCTCCTTTATCCATTGCTCCCCCACCACCCATAGGTCTTCCTGGACCCTCACCATTATTTGCCCTAGAGAAGAGCCTTCTTCACTATACCATCTGCCTTTGGTGGCAGCACAGAAACAATCATCTCTACATCCTCAGTCCTGGGAACCTAGGCTCTGCTCAGGCTTTCCTGGGGGCTGAAAGGTGGGTTGAAATTATTTTTCCCAGGACTTTTAAAATGCATGCTATTATAATTATCAATGCGTACTATAACATTAGTATATCACAACATGTATGCACACTTATCTTAAGAGCATAAGAAAAAACTCACTAAAATCAATTTTGAAAAGAAACTGCAGCAATTTTAATATTTGCAAACCATAATGCACTAAAATTTACTAATAACATTGCCTTAAATTTTTTTCTTTTTAATTTTGGAATAACATACGAATCTACTTTATGCTATGCTCTTTTGTTTTCCTTCCTTTGAAGTCCATTCAGTGGCACAAGAGGAAAGAAGAGAGAAGAAAGGGGAAGAAAATGTATTCCTATATATTGGAGCTTATATGACTTTATATCAGTAGTATAAAACTTTCAGCTTTTCTTCAGTAAGTATATTTGGTTCCACCTTTGACTTATGAGGTCTAAATAAACCAGAAGCGAAAGAACTATTTTGTTCTTGGTTCCTATGAGAAAGGCCTCATTATGTTAACCTTTAATGCTTTTATGTTAAAATGCTTGTTTTTGTTCCCCTATGAAGTTCCTTTTCTTAATTGTCATTTCCAAGAAATTTTAACTCCACATTTTTTATTACTTATTCAAGCAAATGCAAGTAAATAACTTATTATAATGACTGTAGCCTCCTTGAAATCCAGTTCTTTTGCAAAAGAAGGAAATACTGATTTATACTGTGTTTGATTTCTCGCCTAAAATCACAGCATAAAATGAATATGAATTAATAATAATTGTAATTAATTTTATCTTTGAGACAATGGAAGTACAGGGCAAATTTAGAAGGCTGATGTGTTCATAGACATTTTTGTCTTCCGATGCCATTTGGACTTGCCATTGGATAATTTAGCATGGATGATTTAATATAAAAAATAGTTTTATACACATTGACTGAATTTCCCATTTTCGGTATTGAAGAACCACATCAATCTCTCCATTAGTGGAAGGGGGTTGTATTTTAAAATCAAATTTGTTTTGAGGACACTGTAAACAGAATTAAGTGTATTGTTAAGTATTCTTTCTTAATATAAGTGTAAATTGTTGACACATGGAGAGAGGAGATGCCAGACTACAGATCATTCTTGTTGGATGAAGCATGTACTGAAGTATCACTTTCTAACAATTAAGAAATTAGCACTAACAATTATGTGTCATCTTGTCTCTAGAGCTCACAGCATGATTAGCTTATGCCTAATTAAGGGCCTAAATCAGCAAAGAATGTCTGGCTTCAGCCTTAGGGGGAATTCCTGTAGGCTACTTTCTAAGCTTTCCCTATTTAAATGAGAATGTAATTCAATTTTAAATGATAATCTAAAAGGATTTTTTACTATTTCTCATCTTCTGATTTCAAAAAATAATCTGATTTTCATCTCTTTTTTTCTTGGTGTCCTTTCAATTTTTAAAAAATAATTTAAAAAGAAGAAGAAAAAGAAAAAGAAACTCTACACAAACTTGAAAGTTTTAGTTCTCTACAAAAGAACTAGATTTTCTTTTCTATTCCAACAAACCACAATCCTTTATAATTTCAAATTCCTCTAAAAATTTTTTAAAACTGAAATCCCCAACTTAGCCCTAAGAGCCATGCTCCTTCTCTCAATAAAAGAGAAATAAACATTTAGTCTGACATATTTGGAGCATTTTATTAATTATTCAATTAAAACACTTATTAAATATAGTAATAAAAAGATTGGAGACAAGACTATGAGAAAAATACATGAAATATGGCACTATATTTGCACACCCACACTATTTGTGTATATATGTATATATATGCACATATACGCATGATACGTATTTATATATATACGGCATTTGCACATACACATATGGAATTTATCATGTTTATATTCCTGCATGCATTATCTCATAATTTTATCTTTATTTTACAGCTG